CGGGACCGACTCCAACAGCAAGCCAGCAACCTGAGGAACGGCCAATAATAGGGGGTAAAGTGGCTCCGGAAACATGACTCAATGCATGACACACAAGCCGAGTCGTTAAGATAATAGGTAGGATCTTCATCGCGATTTCGATCGCCAACAGGATAAAACAAGGGAACAAGCGGATTCTTACGAGCACGATATCAAACAAGGGGATTGCTGCGAGCGAATCCAAAGGTATCGACAAAGGGATCATATGGATCCAATCGACAGAGTAAGTTGCAATAAGTGGAAGGACTACCGATTAAGATAATGAGAGGAAACTTAGGACTCTGCACCAGGGGATAGCTCATTCCATTGACAACCATAAAGGATAGACATATAAGAATAAGAAGGAGTAACATTCTCATAACCTCGCATGCTACCATGCCGACCAATACCATTGTGGATTGATTAATCTAACGATCTAGAGATGTAAAGTTTGTATTTCCAAATAAAGTGAGCAGTTATTGATTATTTTCTAGAATAGGCCCGCAATTTATAAAGCTGTAAAGCTGAATTGTAAGCTGTATCCCGTCGCAGTGTTCGTCCATCTTCTTCATCCACGAGCGTGGATTCCATGACAAACAATGTCAATGACTTCGTCATGGTTCAACATTTGGTTGGGTCCAAAAGGTGGTAGACGAGGGAAGTTCATCGGTGTTCATCGACTGAGGTTGTTGACATAAGCCGAGTAGACATATCAGCAGGCTTACGCATCTTGCGGCGCATGAAGCGTTTCTGCTTTTCAAGCCTTGTAGGGACAGACCGCTTCGAACCAGGCATTTATGCCAAACTAATGTCAGCGTCGTCCAAGCAGGCTGAGCTGCTCGTTCCAGGCAACCTGGAAACGTACTTGAAAGCGGCTTCGTCTTCGCGCCACGTACATCGCGTGGAGCATCCCGTTGACTGCAATCTGGCGCAAAGCATTCCAACGTATTTCACGTGGCCTGCACAGCTAGATTCGTAACTGCCTTTGCAGAGCTAGAAGTATCACCTTGAGGAGGTTATGTTTCGGTAGGCGTAGCAAAGGCAGAGCCCACGAAGACCTTCTCCATTCTCCAGCCCACTTGATGTTTGACGTGGAGTCTCAGATCATTGATGATTTGGGACCTTGAAGGTGTACTTTGCGCTGTTAGCATCTTCTGGAATAGTGCGAAGTTTGTAGGTGTAGAGCGAGAATCGTCGATTTCGCATTCATCATCGAGGTCGATGAGAGGAAGGATTGTTTGTCGCGCAGCTAGACTCGAAGCTGGTGTATGCGTCTTTGCAATCTTCATGGTGAGGAATAGGTTGAGGGTAGCTGAAAGCTATTGTGTTTGTTAACAAAATGCACTACGCTAAAAGCTAGTGTAAAGATCTTTCGAGTTTGTTGAGTTGAGAGAATGAAAGTTATGAGAGGATTAGAAAGCTATGAAAAACTAATCAACGAGAGAGATCCACAATCAAGGATCGTAGATCTGAACTCCCGCGGGAGACTGTAGAGTGTGATGGAGTAGGTTGCGGTAGCAATCCTACTCACTCCACGATCCAAAAACGGAACGCGTGAAAGATTCGTCTAGCATTTATCTAGTAGCGTGGAAGTACTCCACGCTGGCTAAATATCTAGAGCGATGTTTCATCATCAACCTAGTATGACTAGAGCGGTCATTGAGAACCCTGTCTCAATGACTATTCACTAGAGACTCAGTCATGAGTCGAACTCAAACCCTATCTAGGATCGAGTCGCGAATAAGGCTAAGAGCCGTGTATTGCACAGTCCTTCTTGGCTACTGCACCCCCTGCAGTTACCCGACTGCTCCCATCCATTCTATCCCACCTTTAGAACCAGCATTCCCCTTCATAGCTACAACCGAATATTCCCCACAACTGCCTCCCCTTGTGACCTTTTCCGGCTTCTCATTCAATGCAAGCTTCGACTCCCCATTCTACCCTCAGCTCTCCTGACAATTTCCTGCCATCGATGCCAAAAATTTCGAACTTCTTTGGCGATCCAATGTCGCAGCAACAAGCACCTTAGTGATGGTATCCATGACTCCCCGTTCCATCATGTTGCCTCTCACTTTGCCTCCATTGCTCCGCCCATAGTGGCACTTGTGAAATTATTACCCAACCAACGCCCCGCTGACGTATGTACCGGTATTGCTCTCCAACCATCAGCTTTATCCCTGTCACCCACCCCTGCTGCGTCTTTCCTGATCATCAATGTGACCGTGATAATCCCATCTGTCAGGAATTGCCTAGTGACCAATCTGTCACTCAACAACCCCCAGCTCAACTAAAATCCATCACTAGCTAAGCCATCAGATCAAGCTCACCACCAAGAACAACGTGTCCCCTGCAGAATACTTTCCAGCCCTTGTTGCTGCTGGTGTTGTTCGCGAACTTTGACCCTTTCCTTGGTATTGACCCCTTTGCCCAAATCTTCCTCTGGACTACTATGGTGGCAAGTCCCCTCATATTTCCATGCCGCCCCCAGCCACCACAGGTCTCTTGCCTTCCCTTGCATTCTGTTCAAATCTACTCTCAGCTTCAGTTTGCTCCCAAAGATCTGCTCCCACATGCAAACAAGAACTTCACTGCACCCCTGTCTCACTACTACAGCTCCTCCCAGCAAGCTATACTCCCTATCACAATCATTGGCACACGATTCCCTTGCCTTGAACGTCTTCAATCAATTAGCCTTGCATATTTTACCTGCCACTACATTTGTCATCCAATCCCTACACCTGTCAGATTCTACCCCTGCCACCGTCCTGCCTAATGCCTTTGCCCTAGCCAGCCACGCCGAACCGCTCGATCCATTTCCGCTTTACTTACAGGCTGGTGTCACCTAATATCCTAGCCCTTCATTCATGCCAAATACTACGGATTGTTCAGATTGAATTGACCACAAAGGCCTTCTCTCAGAAATTGGTCCCTCCGCTCAAAATTTGAGGCTGCACTCAGAAATTCAATCTGCTCTGTAGAAGCTTGGTATATTTCTACACGAGCAACAAATCCGAACTCACGTCGTCCACAATTTGCGGGCTTTGCGCAGGGCAACACAATGAGTTGGCAGAAATGTCCTAGAATGCCGGCAAGATATCTGAGCTTTACAGCTTGAATTTCTGAGAGAGCCCTCGAATTCTCGAGAGGACCATTGAGAGGACCCCTCGAATTCTTGAGAGGACCCTCGAATTCTTGAGAGGAGACCATTCCAGTCAATCAATCTGAAACCACAGCAACAGCGCTCAACAGATGCAGAGCCCTTGTGAATTTTATTTGTATGTTTGTCCGTTTGTCCTTTTTGTCCCTTTGTGTGTTACACTTTTTAGCGCTAACCCTATAAAAGTAGCCTGCCCAAAAGAGGAACAGATGGCTGGCTTGCTAGCTGGAGTAGCTACTATTAATAATAGTTACCGTAGCTCCCAAACAGCCAACTGTTCATTACTTAGCTAGCCAGTAGGAGAGCCTAATATCTTAGCTAGCTAGATACCGGTAGCTACCCAAGCAGCCAACTGTTTATTAGCTAGCTAGAAAGAGGCTCTATCTACTAGAGCTAGCAGCAGTGGCAGTACTAGCTATCTAGCTAGTTACGCGTGTAGCCAACCAGCCGAATGATGATTCCATTCCAAACTCGTTGCAATGCTGCCAGGCATGGCAAATACAGGGAAGACCAGTGGAAGAAGAAGCACGAACAGCTTCAGCGGGAGGTGGAACTCATCTACGAGAAAGCGGATCTGATCCCAGCAGAGCTGGTGGATTTTATCTTCAAGCGACCGCTTGACGAGCAAATGGCAAAGGGCCCAGGCGACATCAAAGCGTGGCTTGCCAATTGGCTGCCCGTCGTCGACAAGGCACTCAGGGACGAGCATGCACGCACAGTGTAGAAAAATGACACAGGGTAACTATGCACAGAGGGGGTCTTACCGTAGAAATAGATGGCAATCCAGCCAAGGGTAGCTAGTTAGTCGTACAGCACCCTCCGGAGTTTTGTTAAATTTCTCCGGTGGGGGGCTTACACTAGGCCCATCCTAAGTGGGCGCACTTGTGCGCCTGAGGTATATGGGTTCGTCACGGCACCGTTCAGCGGATCGTCTGACGAGGTGTAGCCTTTAAAATAAAATCTCGTTATATATATTTTTTCCCAAACTCGTTGGGGGCTACCGTACCGGCAGCCTCAATCCTTATTATTATTATTATTAGTACACGTACAAGTACCCTTCCAAAAAGACAGACATGTACAGGTTGTAGCAACACATTACATGTAGAGAACTCGACTGCAGTCTCTGGCCTTACCATGTCCGAGACTGACAGCAGTGACGAGAGCAGTGAAGGCACCAACGAGGAGGATTGTGCCACCATCAGCAGTGATGAAGGTACTGGTATTAGTAATGACAGTGTCGAGGCGACAGCGACATCACTAGACACATCACATGCAACCCTCGTCCTTCGTTGGACGCAACAGATTCCCATCAGGTTAGGACTGTGTCCATGGGCAATGAAGTCTCAAAGCTTGCGACGTCTGAGATGCACGACCTGTTTGGCGACCAGTCCAGCAGATGTGGCGAAACAAGTTATTTCGGAGGTCGAAATGCTGTGTCCCCAATATGGCCTTGACAGTGGTACTGATCTGGCATGGAGCACTACCCTGGTAGTTTGCCCCTTTGTGGACGCTTGGAACGCCGAGTTTGGAGCCTTTGATGGCTTTGTGAGAAGCCTTAGTAGGGATCTGCAATCGTTATCATTATGTGATTATGATGACCCCGCTAGGAGTTACGAGCTGCTACAGGAAGTCACCTTGGTAGCATTCCATCCCCGATTCCTTCGTTGGCGTGCCCTCCCAGCATGTGTGGACATTGGTAGCACGGTCCAATCGCACAAGGGCATGGGTGGCTTCCGGAAGAGTACAGAAACATTTCCTGCAACCATCATTGACACAACCACACCTGTATTTGGTCGACGCAAGATCAAAATTCGGTTTCATCATGACAGCAAAGAGCAATATGTCCCAATTGATTGGATTGTATTTGAACAGGATCAACTGTTGGGTGAGCCATTACCGGATAATGCCATGCATCGAGCCCCGTATCCCACAGTACACCTGATACGGAATCAGGATCTGGCATCCCTGTGTGTTAGGAGCGTGTCTCTCGAGTCAAGAGGAAAAACGCTGTTCGCATGATCAAACTTGGGTGGGACGGTATGCAATGGACTGATGAATTGGCCAAAGTTTCCCGGGAAGCTGCAGCTGATGTTCTTTCGAGGTGACAATAACAATCTACCTTTCTATGGGATGTCAGGGGCGGACCAAGTCCCGGGAATACCTTGGTGTTTGCCAGCTCAACCCTATCAATAGGGTAGCAAGGGATGGGCATTATCACGACCGATGGAGTTAAAGTTGAGTCGAGTCGAGTTGAGTCAATGTTGTTGCATGAATACATCTATTTGTCGTGGTTTGTTGTTTCGTTCGCAAGAACATCCTACCCAAAGTTGTGGGATTCATTGAGAAGATGTTCCTGTCTTCGCAGGTGGACACTAGACTAATGTAATTTTCTGTACTATATCCTTTCTTCCTCTGATGTTGACGAATGCGTCGTTGGTAGCGAATACGGTATCATAACAGCTTCAGGATGCTAACCAAGAAACGAAGTGCCTCACGACTACCGTACCAGTACCGTACTGTTGGCGCGGATACGGCGTAACTGCAAAACTGGGTCCTACCTTAGCTAACCAACAGATAAAGATCGCTATTTTGTGAAACCTCAACATAAAGAATGGTAAGGCATCCAGAATTCCGGCAACGTTTACTGGTGTTTTTAGACCCAATTTCATCGAAGCGACGACCCAATTTAACTCTTTTCCTTTGGCCAGTCCTCCTGACAACAGTCCTCCAAGAACTGCGCCTCTTTTCTCGCTTCCATGTTTGCCAAATGCTTGATTCCGTTATCAATCTATGTCAATCAGTGTATTGCAGCCAACCTAGATCTCCTGCTGAAAGACATAAGTTTGACACTGGACACCACTCCCTGTCAACGAGGTACTGAATTGGTCTATCTTCCAGCCATTCATTTCGATCTTGTTCAATAAATCGTGAACCTCCAGGTAGTATCCCTTGCTTAGGACGCAGTCATTGCCTTTCCAAATGCAATAGAACTCCTCTTGCGGTTCGTCGTCTTCGGCATCTTCTGGGAACTCAACGCACAGCGCATCTTCCAAATGAGCTTTGAGGGTATCAGGACAACTGAGCACAAAGCGGGCCAGTTGGAGTCCATCGGTAGCATTAAAGGACAACACAGCGAACGGCATGATGATTCTTCTGTTACTTTTTGTGCAACAATTCAACTGGAATGAGGATGCGTAAGCTGATAAGCTGATCGATTATGTCTACCCGTAAGAGTGCTTTGGGGTTTGGGGACCGGTGTCTCTTCTTTGTGGTTGGATCCTTTTATTAGCCGTTATTTACAGTGTCAACGCGAACGAAAGCCGAGGCGGGGGTGCGGAGCGCGCTGCGCACGCAGCGGGACATGTCGCCACGGGGACCGTGGAACGTGGAAGGGCTGAATGATGCGCCCACCGGTTACACCAATGCTAACCTGGGTGATACTAAAGTATCGGTAACCTTTAGAAGGCGGCGACCGGTACATCTGTACTATAGCACAGAACTAACAGGTTGCTTGCGACGATTGTCGAAAGCCAATTGGTACATGTACGCGTGCACCGGCAGAATGCACAGCAGGAACAAAACATGTCGACTCATGCAAGGTAGAACTACATAGTTTGTATACGCCTTGGTCAAAACAATAGATCGGTAAACTCTCTGCTGGTGGTCAGACTCTTGAAGGATGCCCTTTTCCGTCTTTCCCTAACCATTTTAGACGATGGAACGGCTTCGGCGGTTTCAAATTGATGACAGTCCTTGCGCGGCTTCCCTTGGCGTCGTTTTTGCCTCCCTCGTCTTCGGACTTTGATGACATGC